TGATCATTGACTATAAAAGAACAAGGTGATTTTTACAGAAATATATAATTACTTAGATATTCGTTGTCAGCTGTACTCGTGAGACTCAGTTATATGACTGATTAAAAACAACAGATCCATTCATTGTAATTGGCTCAGCCGAAAAAAAGAAAAGTTCACACAAGTAAACAGAGAAGGACAATGAATGATTGATTTCATTCCATGTCCTGGTAGATGGTGGAAGGTTCACATTCAACACAAGTCACGTTTTTTTTATTTTGGACACCGAAGTATCTGAATGATTGCAAGAGACAAGAAGTTTGCTTATTGTGTTTTTGTTTCAGGTATATAAATGGCATCTATTAGTCCGATCTCTTACACATGTATTGAATATTCGTTTCTGACGGATCGAATCCTTGAAAAATGCTCAACATTGTTTAATAACAACTATGGTATCTGGAGTGACGATGCTCCTCTCTATAGCAACAACATCTTACAAGCCGGCACTCGTGTTAGACTTGGACTCAAGCGTCTTCGTGAGCTAATACTGTTCAACGACCGCTGTTTTCTTGTCATTGCAGAGAAACGTTCATTTGATAATGATCAATTTGAACTTATTGGACATGCCTTCTGCACATCAGCTAAATACGATCGATTAAATGGCAATGTCGTATGGATTACCCAATTGGTTGTTAGTTCTTCTTACTGAGGTCAAGGTATAGCCGGAACCCTGCTTTCCATGGCTAAGAATAGCATCGAAGATGTTGTTGCCATCGGACTTGTTTCTTCACATCCTCATGCTGTAATTGCCCTCTCCAATGCCTGCAATCGCATTTCAATCGATTTGAAATTTATTGCTGATCCTGCGGAAGATCTCATTCGAGCATGCAACGTTCCTTATCTTTCACATGTTCAACTCATCGGTTCCATTTTCAACACTCAACCGCTTCTCACTGTCGATGATAATCAGCAACCTGTTTCGCTCGTCAAAACAGACTTTTTTGTTGATCACAAGGAAATCTTGGCAATTCTCAAAGATATTCGCGAGAAGTGGATTCTTGGACCTCTTTTGGATGGCCACGAGTTTTTCGTCGTGTTCCCAACTACCTCCGTTCGCCATTCAAGAACTTCTTCAAGCAGATCTTCATCTGATATTTAACCATCAGAAAATAATCCACAACATCTTCTCAAACTTAATTCATGAACAATTGAATTGTTTTGTACAAGATGACTTTTTATTTGTTGTTATTCAATTCAGATTTTCATTATTCTTATATCACAAATAAATATCTTTAGTTGGTCACAATCGACCAAGATCATCTTCTTATATTAATTGTTCAGACATATTAGCTGTTTATCAGTATAAGTTAAGTAGAAAATACGAAACGTCATGATGAACTTTAAGTCAGAGATGAAATTCATCTTCGATAATCTTTTACTCGATGATCATCTAATTAATGAAAAATTTGATCAATATTCTCTCATCTCGATCTCTCGAATGACGATGATTGACAAAAATCGAAAAATATTTAATTGAATTATCAAGCAAGAACAAAGAAAAATGGATTATTGTAGCCAAATAGATATTTTTCTCATAAATATCATGTGATTTTTACATTCTATAATGATAAGATCCTGATCAACAAGAAAATCTTTCAGAATTAAAAGTCAATAAAACAAAAAAAATGAATAGGAATACCATTACTTTTGTTGGTTCTTGAGAACAGTTGAAGAGAAGACGATCACTCTCATCCTCAATATAGTTTCGGGATAGTAAGATATTCTTGCTCGGTGATTCTTGATACAGGAATCTGAGTGAAGGTTACATATATCGAAAAATTAATGAATCAGTTCAAACTAATTACTTTCATACTGGGATGGTGATGTCAGTTGTTTCTGATTAGAATATACACTGAAAAAAAAATCCGTAGAATAATCAACCCTTAGACCCCAAATACGGTTGCATAAACCCTTCAAGGGTTTATAACAAAGTGATCTACCCTTTAAGGGTTTATGGACCGAAGGGTTTATAACAATAAGGGTATATGAAAATAAGAAGGGTATATGACGTCTATTTAAGGGTTTATTACTCAAATTTTTAATCAAAAGGATTTATTATCCTACCCAGAAGGGTACATTATTCTACGTTTTCATCAAAAGGGTATGATGTTGTACGCATAAGGATAGATCATTCTGCGAAGCCCGTAAAAGGTTTATTATTCTACACATAAGGATAGATAATTCGACGACTACAGGAAAAGGGTACATCACCCTACAGTTTTAGGGAGTGGGTTTATTATTCTTCGTCTAAGGGTAGATTATTCTACGATTATAAAAAAAGGGTTTATTATTCTACGCCTAAGGCTACACCATTCTGCATTTATGGAAAGCAGAATTTATTCTTCTACGTCTAAGGATAGATCATTCAACTACCATGAACACAGGGGCGCATTATTACTGAAAAAAATCCGCATAATAATCTGTCCTTGCACTTGAGAAATTTATCAATAAACCTTTAAACGGCTTATGCCAATTTTATCAACTATTTGAGGGTTTACTGCTCGATGCGTTTATGAAACTATAGGTTTTGAAAGCTCAAGGTGTATATGGTAGTTACATAAGGGTTTCTTATGTTACGATTTCGAGATAAGAGTATGTTTTTCAACCAATATCAGTAGATTATTGCACACATTCAAGATAAGAGTGTCTTATTGTTCTATTCCAGATTTATTATACAACTTTTTGATTAAATGAGTATGTTACTCTGCTTTTCTGGAAAAGATACGCTAACATTCCAATAAACACCTCATAATTCTACGCCTATAGGCAGATTGTTGTACCTTGTCTTTCAAAATGTTTCTTATTCTGCGTATAGGGATTGATTTATCTACTTTTTAATCAAAAATGTTTACTTCTGTACGTAAAGTGTTATGATTTACACCGCTTCGTTGACAAGAGTCTATTATTTTATCGGTAAAAGTCAACTTCGTTACTCTCTCGCCGGTAATAGTTTTCCTCTTGTCGTCTAAGAGTTGATTCAACGTCTTTTTCATTTGTAGAGGTTTTGTTGCTCTACGCGTAGGTTCTGATTCTTCTACTTCTTCAGTCAGAAGGGTTTTAGTATTCTACAATTTCGTTGAAAAGATTGAATACTGTACGTTTAGGGGTTCATTCTTCCACCTCTTCGTTTAGAGGGATGTATTATTCTACGTAGGAAAGTTGATTATTGTATACTTCGGTTGGAAAAGTTTATTACTGTACGTATAGAGGTTTATTCTTCTACTTCTTCATATAAAAGAGTTTATCATTCTACGTATAGAGGTTGATTGTCCTATACTTCCAATAGAAAGGTTTATTACTCTGCGTATAAAGGTTTATTCTTCTACTTCTTCATATAAAAGAGTTTATCATTCTACGTACAGAGGTTTATTCTTCTACTCCTTCATATAAAAAAATTTATCATTCTATGTATAGAGATTCATTATTCTACACTTTCGTTGGAAAGGTTTCTTCTTCTACATTCATGAATAAAGTATTGGATCTGTTCATTAAAAACGGTTGTTATTCTTGATTCAGTGTTCATTCTTTATCGAGTTGCGTTGGAAATGTGATTGATAAATAGTTGTCTATACATCAAGAAATGATTAATATAAAAGTGACTATTATCCATCCTTCAGAGCTTTGCTAAAGAAGATTAATGTGAAGTATGTGAGAGCTATTTTGTTTTGTCTAGAACGGTTCTGGAGTTACTGTTGAACAATTTTCCGTAATGGTTCTGGATGCTACGAGGGTGTGGCTGTGGGTGGGTGTCGGTGGGTGTGGGTGTGGGTGTGAG